GTTTCCTGGGCGAGTCGAAACTCCTAGGAGACCGCGAAGGTCTAACAGTCACACACACACACCCTTCCCCGCCTGGGTTACAAGTGAGTCAAAACAGAGGCAGCACTTTACACAGTCCTTCATTTGGCCCCCAGACAGGTTAGGACAGACAAACACAATAATTAGTGAATAAGGTCTGCTCTGTTCCCTCCAGAACCAGGGACCAGGGGTCCACACTGGGAATACAGGCTGCTGATTTCAAGACTGCTGCTGAGCCAGGGAGGGGAGGTAGCAAGAAAAGTAAAACTGCCACAGAGCTTTCCTACCGTTTTTAAGTGGCCTTTTTCTTAATTCAGCATTTGCTTGGTTGACGTAAACTTCTGACCCTTCTCAAGAGTTCTGGCAAAGTTGGTTCTGACAGGTGCTGCTTGTTTGTCAGTGTTTGTGTAGAGGGACAGGAGTTTGGAGCCGCCCATTCTGCCATTTTGCTGACATCAGTGCTCGTGGATGACTCATTTCTTAACTTCTTTGTGTTTGTCTCAGTTCCTTTTTCTGTACAGGAGATGATACAGGGAGCTTGTAGTGAGGCTTTCCTTTTGAGAGAAATGATCGCTAAAACAAAAAAAGCCTATTCCAGAAGTCTATCAACTGAAAAAAACAATGCACAACCTAAAAGTTGAGAATTATGATTTATTCGAGGATATTACTGAGGATTATAGTATGTAAACAGCCTCTTAGATAGCATTGTGGAACTTTCCAGAGAGGTAAGGGAGGAGCCAGGATATAAAGGAGGTTTTGCTGGAAAAAAACAAATGTAGTTGAACATGAAGAGATTACTGCAAATCACAAAAAAATCCAGACATTTCAAGTTAATGATTTTAGTGCCTTTCTGTCTATGGGAATATGCAAGGGTCTGGGTTCATGGAGATTATTCCTCTGACATGCATCTTAACTATCTAGGGCCAATAGCCTATTTTTCTCCATCCTGAATGCCCCTCAGGGTGCACCGTTGGTGGTAGCTGCAGTGACTGATGGCTTGTGTGGCATTCTTTGTTTACTAAAATGGCAGACAACATTTTTTTTTTGTCCACAAGCCCAAGACCTTTTTGTGTTGGGCTTTGCATCCACATTGGCCATAATGGTGAACGATGTCTCCCCAGAAGGAGCTGTAGGCATCCATCAGTTTGTTTTTTAGTTTATGATTAGTACTTTTTGGTTCCTGTGCAGGTAAATCATGAAGATATTCTCCTATGTTTTCTTCTAAGAGGTTTATAGTTTAAGCTTTTAACTTAATTCTGAGATCCATCTCAAATTAGTTGTGTTTGGTGTAATGTGTTAAGATTCATTTTCCTCCCTTTCATTTATTCACTAGTTCCAGCATCATTTGTTGAAAAGACAATCCTTTCCCCATTACACAGCTCTGGCACATTAGTCAAAACTCATTTAACTATATATGCCTGGGACTAAGTCTGGACCCCCGATTCTGTAACATTTATCTAGTTGTCTATCCTTATGCCAATATCACAGTGTTTTGATGGAAACTTTATAGCAAGTCTTGAATTCAGGTGCGTGGACCGTTCAACTTTGCTTAAAATTGACCTATGTCCATTACATATAAAATTCAAAATCAGCTTATCGAAGTTACTAAAATGCTTGTGGTATTTTGATTGTTATCATTAAATCTGTAGATCAGTTTGGGGAGAATCAACATCATCATAATGCTGAGTGCTCCAATACGTGAATGTGGTATATCTCTCTATTTATTTAGGTCACTTATTTTTTCACAGTGTTTTGTAATTTTCAGTGCAGAGATCTTGCATATCTTTTGTTAAATTTATTATTAAGTATTTAGGTTTTTATACTGTTATTATAAATCAAAAATTTTCATCTTCTAATTGTTGCTAATACACACACACACACACACACACATATTTTTCCTTCCTCTGTATATTGCCCTGTGTCTGGTGACTTTGTTAAATAGCTCCAATAGTTGCTCCTTAGTACTCCTTAGGTTCTTCCATGTTAAAAAAAAACATGTTTTCTGCAAATAATGACAGTTTTACTTGTTCCTTTCCAATCTTTATGCTTTTTTCTTGCCTTATTGAACCATTTAGAACCGTTACTACACAATTGAATAGAAGTGTGGTGGGGTGTATGTCCTTGACTTGTTGCCAGTTTTGAGGTGGGGGGCATCCACTATTTCACCATTGCCTGTGATGCTAGCTTTAGGTTTTTGATAGATGCTTTTGTCAGATTGAGGAAATTTTTTTCTATTCCTAGTTTTTTTGAGAATTTCTGATCATGAATCAGTGGAATTTTGTTGAATTTTTTCTTCAGTTATGGAGATCATAATGATCTCCTTTTTCTCTATTAATATGGTAAATTGTACTGATTTTTTGAACGTTGAACCAACCTTGCATTTTTGGAGTAAATCCACTTGGTCCTGATGTATTGTCCAGGTTTTCGTTTGTTTTTGTAGTGCTGGATTTGATCTGGTCACATTTTGTTAATGACTTTTGCATCTACATTAATGAGAAATACAGATCTGTAAATTTATTTTCTTATCTTTGTCAGGTTTTGGTATCATGGTTATATTGGCCTTTTAAAACATGATAGTTAAGTGTTTTCTCTTTCTTTTCTGAAGGAGTTTGTGTAAAATTGGTATTGGTATCTTTAAATATTTGATGAATTCACCATTGAAACCATTTGGTCCTAGAGGTTTCTTTGTGGAAGGTTTTTTGATAACGAATTCATTTTACTTAATAGGTATAGAGCTATTCAGATTTTCTATTTGTTGTCGTATCTGTTTTGGTAAATTCTATATTTCAAGGACATTGTCCATTCCAGCTAAAATACCAAATTTATTGTCTAAGTCCTCAAAATGTTCCCTTATTAATCTTTTAATGCCTGTATGATCTGTAGTGACATTCTTTCCTTCATTGTAGTGATACCTTCCCCTAGTCTCTTTTTTTTTTCTGGATGGTAACATTAGGATTTTTTTTACTGAGATATAGTTGATTTACAATATTACATTAGTTTCAGGTATACAATATAGTGATTCAGTATTTTTATAGATTATACTCCATTTAAAGTTATTACAGAATAATGGCTATATTTTCCTGGGATGTACAATATATTCTTGTTACTTATTTATTTTGTAACATAGTAATTTGTGTCTCTTAATCCCATACCCCATCTCACCCCTCCCCCCATTCCCTCTCTCCACTGGTAACCACTAGTTTCTTCTCTGTATCTGTGAGTCTGTTTCTGTTTTGTTATATACATTCATTTGTTTTATTTTTTAGATTTCACTTATAAGTGATAATGTTGAGTATTTGTCTTTCTCTGTCTATTTCACTAAGCATGATATTCTCTAGGTCCATCCATGTTTTTGCAAATGGTAGAATGCAGTTCTTTTGTTTTGGCTGAGTAATATCCCGGTGTGTGTGTGTGTGTGTGTGTGTGTGTGTGTGTGTGTGTGTATGTGTGTATCACACCTTATTTATCCATTCATCTGTTGATGGACATTTAGGTTTTTTCCATATCTTGGCTATTGTAAATAATGCTGCTGTGAATATTTGGGTGCATGTATATTTTTGAATTAGCGTTTTCATTTTCTTTGAGTATATACCCAGCAGTGGATTTGCTGGATCATGAGGTAGTGCTACTTTTTGATTTTTAAGGAACCTACATATCGTTTTCCATAGTGGCTATACCAATTTAAAATCTCACTGACAGTATACTAGAGTTCCTTTTTCTGCACATCCTAACCAATGTTTGTTAGTTGTAAACTTTTTGATGATAGCCATTTTAGACAGGTGTAGGTAATACCTCATTCTGTTTTTGATTTGCATTTCTCTGATGATTAGTGATATTGAGCATTTTTTTCATGTGCCTGTTGGCCATCTGAATATCTTCTTTGGAAAAATATCCATTCAGGTTTTCTGCCCTTTTTTTTTTCTTTCTCCAAGTGTTTTTATTATTATTTTTTTAAAATTATTTATTGATTTATTTATTGGCTGTGTTGGGTCTTCATTGCTGCGTGTGGGTGTTCTCTAGTTGCGGAGAGCAGGTGCTACTCTTTGTTGCAGTGCGTGGGCTTCTCAGAGCGCAGTCTTAGTAGTTGTGGCACACGGGCTTAGTTGCTCCGTGGCATGTGGGATCCTCTGGGACCAGGGCTCAAACCCGTGTCCTCTGCATTGGCAGGCAGGTTCTTAACCACTGTGCCACCAGGGAAGTCCCTCTGCCCATTTTATAATTGGGTTCTTGGTTTTTTGATATTGAGTTTTATGAGATGTTTATAAATTTTGGACATTAACCATTTATCTGTTATATCATATGCAAATATTTTCTTTGCTTGTAGGTTGTCTTTTCATTTTGTCAGTGGTTTCTTTTGCTGTGCAAAACTCTTAAGTTTAGTTAGTTCCCATTTGTCTATTTTTGCTTTTTTTTCTTTTGCCTTAGGAGACTGATACAAAAAAATATTACTACAATTTATGTCAAAGAGTTTTCCATCAATGTTCTCTTCTAGGAGTTTTATTGTTTCAGGTCTTACATTTAGGCCTTTCAGCCATTTTGAGTTGTTTTTTTTTTGTGTGTGTGTGTGTGTGTGGTACGTGGGCCTCTTACTGCTGCGGCCTCTCCTGTTGCAGAATACAGTGTCTGGACGCGCAGACTCAGCGGCCATGGCTCACGGGCCCAGCCACTCCGCAGCATGTGGGATCTTCCCGGACCGGGGCATGAACCCGTGTCCCCTGCATCGGCAGGTGGATTCTCAACCACTGTGCCACCAGGGGAGCCCTTGAGTTTATTTTTGTATATGGTGTGAGGTAATGTTCTAATTACATTGTTTTACGTGTAGCTGTCCAGTTTTCCCAGCCCAACTTGTTGAAGAGACTGTGTTTTCTCCATTGTATATTCTTGCCTCCTTTGTCCTACATTAATTGACCATAGATGTGTGGGTTTATTTCTGAGCTCTCTATGATGTTCCATTGGTCTATGTGTCTGTTTTTATGCCAGTACCATGCTGTTTTGATTACTGTAGCTTTGTAGTATAGTCTGAAGTCTGGAAGAGTTATACCTCCAGCTTTGTTCTTTGTTCTCAGGATTACATTTGCAATTTGGGGTTTTTTGTGGTTCCATATACATTTTAAGATTATTATTACTTTATTTATTTTGATTTTTTGGCTGTGTTGGGTCTTCGCTGCATGCAGGCTTTCTCTAGTTGCAGTGAGCATGGGCTACTCTTTGTTGCGGTGCATGGGCTTCTCATTGCGGTGGCTTCTCTTGTTGTGGAGCATGGGCTCTAGGTGCGTGGGCTTCAGTATTTGTGGCACACGGGCTCAGTAGTTGTGGTGCACGGGCTCTAGAGTGCAGGTTCAGTAGTTGTGGTGCACAGGCTTAGTTGCTCCATGGCATGTGGGATCTTCTTGGACCAGGACCTGAACCTGTGCCCCCTGCATTGGCAGGTGAATTCTTAACCACTGTGCCACCAAGGAAGCCCCAAATTTTAGGATTATTTGTTCCAGTTGTGTGAAAAATGTCATGAGTGTTTTGATAGTGGTTGTATTAATTTTGTAGATTGCTTGGGTAGTATGGTCTTTTAAACAATGTTAATTCTCCTAATCCAAGAGCACAGGCCATCTTTCCATTTCTTTATGTCATTTTCAAATTCCTTCATCAATATATTATAGTTTTCAGAATATAGGTGTTTCATCTCTTAGGTGAAGTTTATTTCTAGGTATTTTATTTCTATTTCTATTTCTATTATTTCTATTTCTATTTTATTTC